AAAAAAAAAAAAAAAAAAAAAATCTGAAAAAATCCTGTAATTTACTACACAGTTCTTCTTATCTTTGTTTATCGCAATTTAATTAGCTCGATCTTTGTTTCTTTGTTTAATATAGTTCGATCTTATTGTCCGAAAAATTGTATTCTTTTTTAGTATATAAAAAAGATAAAATAATGTTAATATGACTCTTCACTGTAAAAATACCCTTATTGTTCTTAGATATATATTATGTTGTTTATAAATGAAGAAGCAACGTTGATAATATGTTAATAATCTGTTTATATGTACGATGCATTTAAAAATAAATAGGCATAAAAAGAATACATACCTGTAATTCATTTATTTTTAATTTATTCAAAAGTTCTCAATTTACCTTTTGATGTTATAGTTCCGAGTAGTTTTTTGAAATTCCTTTTAATAAGCCCTGTATTAATTATTTTTTTTATCTTTAATAAATTTTTATGAACCATTTTTATTTATTTATGGATAAGATTTTTCTGTTTACATAGATTTATTGTAATTTCTTTTTCTGTTTACATAGATTTATTGTAATTTCTTTTTTTAAATTACTAGTTTTTAGAATTTTATTTTTCATATTTATTTGTTCTTGTTTTCTCTAGTAATTCTGCTTACTAATTTAATTATAGTAATTCGTGAATTTAAATCTCGAGAATTCCCCCAACATGATACGTACATACCAATATTGTAAATATTTAATAGTGATAAATTTTATGAAGGATGTCGATTTTTCTTTTTTTTTTTTTTTTAATAGAAACAAGATGACTAGGAACTTTTGTGTTTTTTTTATAGAAAACAAATTATAGAAACGATTGCTTTTATATTTAATTTTGTTAATTTTATTTATCATTTTCTTTAATTATTTTTAAATTAAATATTAATTGAAAATTAATTTCAATAATTAAAATATCAAATCTAAAAAAAGAAATTCCATTATTTAAATGTGACTAAATTTCAAAATTTATATCATTTTCCTTAATTAAGTTATTATTTTTAATTTTTGATATTGAAATTATTTTTTATTTAAAATAACAATACAAACCAAAGAGTATGTTTAACAATTATTCAATAATAAATATTCATGATTTTGCGTAATTCTTGATAATTTAATTAATAACATAATAATTACGCGAAATGATTATTGTATTATTTTTTGCCTTTCCTTTCGTAATTCATTTTTTTTCAAGTTTTCATAGATCATTTTTACCATTCTACATTGCAATAAGAAAATTTTTCTATCTTTTTTAGCTGAATGAAATAAAATTAAAATAGAAAGAATCGTAAACACGTAAAGTACGGGATACCTAATTAACTTATAAAAAATTAAATAACTTATAAAAAAATAAAACATAAAAAATTTAAAACTCAAATCTAAAATCTAAAACATCGTGAAAATATTTTCATTTGTGATTTTATCTCTGTTACAAATTATTGTTTTACGATATAAAAATTATCATTTTACGGTAAGAAATAAAATAAGATAAAATATTTAACAATTTATAACAAATCATAGGTATTTATAGAAGAGAAATCTTTTCAAGAAGAGCAATACCTGATTCGGTCATTGAATTTCGCGGTTTTGCGTTAAATAAGCGCGCAGCGCACTATTTGCATGCAACAAAAACATTCTTACTGAAATGAAACGAAATAATATAAATTTTTCTTTTTCTTTTTAGATTTTTATCTCCGCATACTCGTTTTTATATACACGTACACGTATAATTGGTAAATCCGATTTTTCATATTTAATATTTTTAACAGGAAAAATGAAATCGCGGCCATTGCGAACGCAGCAACGTCATAGCTTCGGCAAAGGAATTTCAGGATACGACAGTTGAACGTGGCATAAATTTTCGTTTCAAAGTGCGCGTATGTCAGTCGATTCTCTCTTGTGAAAACTGCATCTCTCGGATCGTGATCTATGACGGATCTTCGCAATATTATAGATTACAGCATAATGTGCGCGAATAATATTGTAGCTGTTGTAAACTGGTCATGAATTTCGGAATTGTAGAATGTCGGTTGCGTAGGCTGAAAATAATATACGCCACGGGCGCTATTAAGCCGCGCCATCTGGATATTAATCGCGAAGAAATTCTATTAGCCAAAGTTTGGAAAAACTTTTGAATTGCGTTATTACTTCTCCTGATAACGAGTGTCGCAAGGTAAAATTCACAAATTTCAAGATTGATACGGCACACGCCGTACACGGTTGCGTTATGTTTGAATGCAAGAGTGTACGCTCCTTGTGATTATATTCACTTAACCTCAAATTCGAATGAAAAATGAATACCTGCGATTATGAGGATGTAATTTTATATTTGTCTCGTTGTGGTAACAGAGAAAGCGAATCTTTCTTAAAAGAGGGAACCGAAGGTACTTACAGCTCTGCAAAAGGGAACGTGAACCTTGAGAGCTTGAAAATATCAATAGCGATAGTGCTCTACAAGTAACGATAATATATTAGTTGGGCTAATTTTTACTAACTTTTTACGAATCAACGATGGGATTTCATTCTGTGTAAAGTTTTGTATAAAATCAAGGAAAAGACATTATCAATATCATAGATACAATATGCACAAGTAGTGTTATACAAAACGGATTAATTTTTATATCAAAGGTAAATTGAATGTTTATTTGTATTATTCTTATGAATTTTCATATGTATATATACATAATTAACTCATCGTCTTTTCTCTTAGGTCATAAGAATTTTACAAATATAGATATAAAATATGATGGAAAAACTTTAAACAATCGGATCAAAGATGAAGCATATTGAAATTAAAAACAAGGATCATAATTATAGCGAAGTGAAATTACGTAATTTCCAGCACGCTACTAGTAATATTCTAAATATATGCGACAATGATATTAAAACAGTATGCAAATCAAATAAATCTGGCATAATATCAAACAAAGAGATATTTGGTCAGATTAAAGATATTAATGAATTGAAGAAAATCACGCCACGTGTGAAACTATTGACTCACGATGCAAATAGTTTAAACGAATTAACTAAAATTTCTTTGCACAATAAAATATCTGCACAAAAGAAATTATCGATATTGGAACAAACAAAACAGGAGTTGAAAAAGTATTGCAGAACTTGTGCTGGCTTAAAACTTCCATTAGTTGATATTTTTAGTGAAAAAGGTAATCAAATGAGATTAAGCCAACAAATTAGACATTTAGAGGACATAAATCCGTATGATAGCTTATCAACTCAAATGTGCATGGATTGTATCTGCGACTTGAAAATGAGTTATAAGTTTTTTATGCAAATTAAGAAAGCAGAAGTTAAATTGAAATCCATTCACATTTCTCTGACTGATACGGCAACAAGAAACATGGAATTGAATAAAACAAAGCCTTTAACAAGTCTTGAAAAACAAGTAGAAAATATTGCTGAAAGCAATGTCAAAAGTCCATCCACAAGTAAAGAAATAAATGAAAATGTTGTTCCAAAAATATCTGCAAATATCTTTTCATTAAAAGATGATAAAGTACTTGAAAAAAATGTTCGGAAAGTAAATCATAAGGAGTTAGAAAGTCAGATTGAAGTTGAGATTTTTGAAGAATCAACTATTCTACAAAATAGTGATGATAATGAATCTATAGAAGAATTTGATCCAGACGATCCTCCTTTTCAACCTGATAGCTCTGATGTAGCAGAATCTGATGATGAAGTAGAGATACCAAATGCAAAAAGACGACATATTCAACAGAAGGAAAGTATGAAACAATGTTCACAATCAATTTCTATCTCTGATAATAATTCAGTCTCGGATGATAAAAATATTGACATAAAGCAAACAACATATAATTATGATACTTGTCTAAAAACATATGTTAAAATAAAGGATACAGATTGTAATAGTCAATCTACTGAATCACACAGCATTATTAATTCTGAAACTATATATAATACTGAAAGTACAAAAGAATGTTCAAAGCAACCAAATATATTAAAACGTAGGTTGTTATTACAATCTAAAAAAGAGTCTGCGGAAGAAACCGATGAAAATTGTCAGTCAAATATTTCTGATAAATGTGGAAGCCATAAGGATTTAAAAGTACAAAAACTTGATGTAAACAATTCTCTAAACAGTAATCAAGAGGATGGAATCATGTATGTTACTGTGAAAGGATCTAAACCGAATGAAATATTGTTAGTAAAAGTTAAAAAAATGGAAAAATCATTAGAAAAAAAAGATGATAAATCTGTAGGGAAAAAAAATTTTGATATTAAACCAATGGACAAGATTTTAAAACGATATGAAACATTAGTTACGAAAGAAAAAGATTTATTTCCAGAACGAACAAAAAAGTCAGAAATAAGAGAACAGATTATAGAAGAACAAATAGAAGAATATAAGAAAAAGCGAGAGAAAGTATTAGGTGGACATACTAATATTGTTGCACTTCCAAAACTTGAAGAATCTCGTTATTTTAAACGTAATGAAAATCAAGATAATCAAAGATCTCTTGCTATAGAAAGTGATTCTGTTGTAAATGTGCAGTTGAATAAAGATGATGGTGAATTGAGTGCAAATATTAATAGTGAAGATGATATTTCAGAAATTGCCGAATCAGCCAAAGAAAAGTCTGCAAATGAAAAAACATATGTAAATACTGAAGAATATTTGTCACATTTAGCAAAACTTAAATTGAAATGGGAAGAAGCAAAAAAGAAAAAAGAGTCACTTCAAAAAGAACTAGATGAATCTTATACAGAAGGAAACATTGAGAAATTAACAAGAATTTTAGGAGAAAAAGAAAAAAATTTGCAAGATTTCCAAGATTATCTGAAACAACGTAAAATTGTAATTACAAGATTAAAAGATGAAGATATTATTTCTCTTTACGAAGACAGAAATAATGCAGTGCTTAAAAACAGTTTACCTGACTTGATAGATGAAAGTCAACCAGCAGATTATATTCCAGAAGAACATTATTTAGAATGTGATTATTGTCCAGAGACGTTTGCTTCTAAAGAAGTTCTAGAAGAACATTTGAAAATGCATGATTATAGAATTATGCATTTTTGTGAAGATTGTATGGAAGAATTTCCAACAAATAAAGCAAAACGAAATCATAATGTAATTTGTATAAAAAAATTACTATGTAAATATTGTGACATGATGTTGGATTCAAAAGGGAAAAAGCGTCAGCATGAACAAAAACATTGTGATAGTATGTATGGACAGTTATGTGATGTATGTGGTGAAAAATTTAAACATCAAGGAACATTGGATCAACATGTAAAAACACAACACATGAGTTGGGAGAAAATATATCAATGTCCAAAGTGTCCTAAAAAATTTGCTTTCAAACAAAAACTTAGTTTTCATTTGAAATCTGTACACACAACATTAAGGGCCTATTTATGTGAGGATTGTGGAGCTGATTTTAAAAATCCTGCAAGTCTCAGACATCATAGAATACGTAAACATCAACCTGTAGGCAATAAAAGAGAATGTCCAGTATGTCATAAATTAGTACCATTTTATAGCCTTTCTAAACACATGCATACTCATAAAGCATACACTATTCAGTGTCCACACTGTGACAAAATGTTTAAAAATAGTTCAACTTTAAAACAACACGTGAGAATTCATGAAGACCAGCGTCAATATCGATGTGATACTTGTGGTGTTGGATTTAATAGACGAGATGGCTTAAGGTTACATATGAGAGTGCATGAAAAAACTGATAGTAGAGGATTAAAAGAATGTTCGTGTCAAGTATGTGGTGAAAAGTTTCCAAATCATTCAACACTTGTCATACATAGAAACCGAGTTCATAAAGATGGTAGACAATATACTTGCCATATATGTAACAGATCGATGATTTCAACTAGATCGTTAGAGTGGCATATGTCTCATATACATAATGAATCACTTCCTGGTGTCGTAAAAGAGGATGTAGATGGACCACCAGAAAAGAAAAGAGCGTCGTGTTATCATTGTAATAAGACATTCAAAACAGAAATGATTTTGAGAACACATATTAAAAACACACATATGGAAAAAGATCCTATGAAGTGTTTAGACTGTGAATTGACATTTACTTCCGAAGTTAGATTAAGACATCATATGATGGTCACACACAATAGATTAGAAGGAACTTTGCCTTGTCCACATTGTCCAAAGAGGTTCGTGAATCAACTCAGATTAAAAACTCATATGATATCTCATTCTGAAGAAAGGCCATATACTTGTGAAATCTGTGGATTTAATTTAAAAACTAAAATACAGTTGATCAAGCATCATCAAAATAGGCATAGCGATGAAAGACCTTTACAGTGTAGATATTGTCCTTGGAGATGTAAACAAGTTAGCGCTCTTGTATGTCATGAAAGAACTCATACAAATGAAAGACCATATTCTTGTAGCGTGTGTAGGCAACGTTTTAAATATTTAGGTGATAAAAATAAACACGAAAGACGACATGAAAGCTTAGGAGGATCTGGATTTAAAAGAATAGTACTTGGTCGAAATATCAAAGCTACTAAAGTACAGGAAGATTCTTCTTGTTCTGAACATGAGCAAGAAAGTTTAAATAATACGGAATCTCAAATTCCTGAAAGTGAATATCAAGACCAGACAGATCAACAATTTGAGGAAGAGCAAATAGTGAAATTTGAAGAAGAACAAATAGTGAAGTTTGAAGAAGAACAGATAGTTAAATTCGAAGAAGAACAAATAGTTAAATTTGAAGAACAAGAAATAACGGAAGAATATGAACAAGTATATGAACAGGTAAATGTAATTTTATAATTCTATATTATTTTTAATTAAATGTAATTCTTATTTTGCATACATTTTATCAGGAATATGAAGAGACATCTAGAGAGGCTTCAGATGCAGCAGAAGTTATAATGAACATGGAAGATACTACTGTTTACACAGAAGAAGTAACTACAGATAATATCGAACCTACAGAAATTATGACAGATGAAATGATGACAAATGAGATATTACAATCAGGTGCTGTAGTTCATTTGCAACAAGAAGATGATTCAGGGAAAATACAAGTGATTCCAGTGATGTTATCTTTACCTGATTTATCTGATGCAAATACAGAGGTCAATTTAGCTACTGCATCTATTATGTATAATAATTGAATTCAATCTCGCATTTTATATTTGCGATATGCTTTGTATAAAGAAATGATTTTTAAAGTTTTATTGTGGTAATTATACATTTAAAGGAGCTGTTTATTTGATATAAATAAGTAGGGGCTAAATTACATTCCTATAAACCCATTTCAGCATGTTCTAAAATGTATATTTCCTTTTAATATATGTAGGTTTTATTGTGCTAGAAGATTATGTACCTAAAAATCAGAATAGTTATTTCCTATCGAAATAATAGTTTTGTAAAATTAATTTACTGTGTGAAAATACTATTAAAACCAATTTAAGATGTAAAAAGAATGATATAAAAAAATTATCTCTTTCAATACAAAATTTTTGTTTAATTATAAATAATAAATAAAAATATCTGTAGTACGATATATAAAATATTTTGTACAAATCTATAAAAGATGAACAAGTATTTTACTTGATAATACAAACTTTCAAGATTAATAAAATTGACATTGTTCATAACCACACGTCTATTTATAAATCGTTTATGATTCAATATCATTTTTTTTTTCTTGCTTCCTAATTATTAATACTTTTTTTCTATTTATTAACATTATTTTATAAGTATTCCTTGTTTCTTAATTTGTCAAAGGAATATTTTAATCATTAAAGAAATCATGCATTTTATAGTTACAAATTCAAGTATAAATTAAGAAAATATTATTAAATGTATTTTTCGGCGACATATTTTTGCATAACTTTATATAGCAAAATTTTTTTTCAATGTTCATATAATATATATTTCTAATATAACTTTGCAATTGATGCTCAAGTGTTAATTCAGATATAATTTAAATAGATATAATGTCTCCCTTGTTTTATAATAATACTAATATTCTTTTGTATTATGGTAAATTAAATATTTTTATTCCTAAAACTTTTCTTTTATTGTTATAGTTAAATTTATTATATTTATGTACAATTATAACTTTTATATACATTTCATTAAATAATTAATTATTATTTAATTATTCGTAATATATTGCACATAGTTATTTGAATTTTTATGATATTTTTTACTCATCACATATTACAATAAGTTATGTACTCGAATATTTTATTTCTTTTTTAATTTTAACTTTTATTTATTTTTCTTATACTATTATCATATATAAACTTTTGTTTGTTAATTTGCACTTGTATTTTTTGGTGGTAATAAAAGAATTTGAGTGTCAAATACTTTTGTACATAAAATACTTGCAAATATTTATATATTTTTCTTATATATAAATAATTATTAAATTTACATTTAAATTACACTTACACTTACATTTAAATTTCTTTATGATAGGATAATATGCACTTTATGAAATGGATACAATAACAAATCATATTTATATTATATATATTTTTATAAAATTTTTATGAAAAATATAATTGAATTTTATATTTATATAAAATAAAATTAACGTATAAACGTTAAGAGTAAATGTAAATGGATATTAACTTATCTAAAACAGATAAACATTGAAATCGTTGTGCTGTACAAGAAAAATGTACAAATATATAAATGTATAATATTAATATTACATCAGGTTTCAATATTCTTTTTATTTTTCCAATATTTAAAATATTAATTTTATTCTATGGACACTTCATTTTAAAGTGTTAAGAATTTGTAATGATCTTTTACAATAAATTTTTACTTTTCTAGATTTTGATAATATTGTGCAAGAATAAACCATGCTTTAGGTGACATGAAACCATCAGGTGGATTCTCACCTGCTTTTGCTAAACCTATAAGAAAATATTAAAAATATTTCAAACATTAAACTTTTACTTTTTTAATGCAGATTTTTCGTTTTGATACTATGTAACATATATTCACGTTATAAAGGTGTAATACAAAGTTGAAAGCATACATACAACGCATTTTTGTTCCTGATATAAATTCAAAATCTTCTTTCCGTTTTTCATCAAGATAAGACATTTTTTTATATTTTTTATCATATGCTGCAATCTTAAATGGTATAATTTCCAGTGACTGTAAACCTCGAGCTATTGAGAGAACTCGGGCTCCATGACTAGGATCATAAAGATTTCCATCAGGTGTTGCATTTTTATTAGGATGCGGTATACCAGCAGGGTCTCTTCCAACAATATAAAAATTAGCACCAGCATTCATTCTAGCTTTTGCATGCCATTGTACCTAATAAAATATGAAGTGAACATGAAATTTTATTTTTGTTGTAATGTAATAAATGAAAATATATTTATAATTAAAATTTACTTCAACTGGTCCAGCATACATCATTGGACTTGGAAAAATTGCTAATAACGTAGAATTCGCATCTAAAACTCCCTCATTAAGTACAGCTTCATGTTGTAAAATTCTGGTATGTAATGGCACATCATCATCTTTTGTCCAACCACCCAAAGGATGCAACAATAGAATAGGATTTTTAAACCCTCTTTCTTCTAATAAACGTTTTTTAGTATCCTATAAATGCAGAAATAAAATATCTTTACAAAAATTCTTTTATATAAATTATACTATAAATAATAAAGTAATAAATGAACATACTTGCATTAACAAAGCATGACCGTTATGTATAGGATTTCTAAGTTGAAATGCAAATACAGCATCAGCCTTCATTTTTTTACACTTCGATCTAATTTCATTTGGCGTAAATCTATATTTATCCAAACCATCATGCCACTTAATTCTTTCAATAACTTCTATATCACCGCCCACTAACCAATCTCCAGATTCATGTATCATCTTTACATATGGATGGCCTAAATCGTTAGTACCAAACTGCCAACCACATCTTTCTTCTTTTCTGTGAAAATAAAATTCAGGCCTACGTAATATTGCAAGAGCTTTATTTTTGTATTTCAGTGTAAAAGCCGAAAGTCCATTCAAACGTTCCTTGTCTTCTGTATGTATTGCAAGGACTATTGGAACAGATTGATTAACTTCCTTGTCATCTTCAAGGAGACATTTTAAATGTTGAGTCTAAAAATATTTTTGAAGTAGTTGACGCTTTCAATAACAAGTTCAGTTTGTAACAGTATTTTTATATTATTATTTTATATTTTCGATATATTATGTTGTATATACCTGGAGATATTGATGTTCTCTCATAAAACCAGTAAGAGGTGCGGCCCAACCTTCTGCTAAAATCTGGAGCCATTGCACATCTATTTCAGTAATTTCTAAGCTCTGAAGTGTAGCTGCTTCTGTTTTGGCAGAAGATATTCGTGACTCTGGAATAAATAACTCCCGTATTGGCATCGATGGTTTTTGTAAGACTGGTATAATACACTGTTTCTCCAGAAGATCAATAACAGTTGCAGCAGATTCTTCTGGAGTACAGTTTTCAGTGATTACCACTAAATCAGGGTTTACTGGTCTTTCATACATTTGATCTATTCCAGTAAAACCTTTGATTGCCCCCTGACGTGCCTTTTTATATAATCCTTTTGTATCCCTAGCTTCACACACATTAAGAGGCGTATCAACAAAGACTTCAAAAAATGGAAGATCCGACATTTTATGGATCTGTCTTGCCATTTGTCTATCCTCTTCAAATGGTGATACAAAACTGCATAAACAAATCTGTCCACTGTCAGCAAATAGTTTAGCTACTTCTGCGACTCTTCTTATGTTTTCTTTCCTATCTTCTTTGCTGAAACCAAGGTTGCAGTTTAAACCACTCCTTACATTATCTCCGTCAAGTCCATAAGCAGCAATTCCATGATTAACTAAAATAGCTTCAACTTGAAAAGCTATAGAAGTTTTTCCTGCACCAGAAAGGCCTGTTAACCAAACCGTGCACCCTCGAAAACCTCTTATACTTCCTATTGCTTGTCCACGTTTTGCTCTTGATACATGATGTGCTTGCTCTGATACATTACTACAAGTCTAATAAAAAAAATTGTTTGTAATAGATTTTTTATTAAAAAAAAATTGAAGAAAAGTATGAAAAAAGATAAATATCAATATTCAAATAGTTTTACTTGTAAAATAAGAAATTTCAAAACAAAGTAAGAAAACATTTAATGAATATTTCAAAGACAGAATTTGAACATTCTATAAGTTGTAAATTAAAACAGATATGATTAGATAATGAAATTAATATCATTATTTCAGATTCTATTGCCTGTTCTATTTGCCTCTTTTAAAAAAGTACTAACGATTATAACAAATCATATTACTTTAATTAAATTATGATTATTAATATATAGTATATATATATATATGTATATATATGTATATATATATATATATATATATATAACTGTACAACTATAATTAAATCATATTGTTTACAGAATATTAATATAAAACATATTTTGGTTTATCTGTACCGTCATTATACGCTTATTTGGAATTTCGTTTGACATAATTTTTTTATGCCGTTAACTTTTTGTATATTTATGTTGACACTTGTATATACGTGGCAAACTGACAGCGGTGGATACAATTTTTAATAAATATCTAACCCGAAAATAATATACTCTAAATGTCAGAGAACAAATTCTGATTGTATTGTAACAATTGTATGAATAGTCGTCATTAATACGATTAACATTTAAAACTGCAATAAGAGATACATAATATATACAACGTGACAGTGGCACACTCAGTACGACTACGAATCACACTGTAACGGTATTATAAAACCAGTTTTAGATACTAGCGCTTCAATTTCAATAGACAATGCGTCAATTAACAATTATAATACGCGCTATTTTTTAATTGTACATGACATGTAAAGAGTAATTCGTGTTTGTTAGTAAATTCTAAAAGGCAACGTTTCAAGATTATCATGAAGTTTTACAAAATGTGAGGTTACGTGATAATATTTTTAGAATATTATTTGGAATATTTCGTGAAGCTTCACGAATATGTAAGGTTATGTGACGATGCTTCGCAGTATATAAATATTTTTGAAAATTGTTTCGATATTTGCTAATTTCAGACAAAATTGTATCTGTATTTTCTGTATATAGAAGGAATTGTTTTTAAGATTTAGTTGTCATAATTTATGTATGAATGTATAATGCAGAGACTAATCATTTTATTGAAATTGTATATAATTTTAGCAAATGTTAAAAAAAATGCAATTTAATACTTTTTAAATTTAATTATTTTAATTTTTCTGTGTGTATTTTTTCGTGTGATATAAACATATCATTGACTTACACATCAATTTTCACATTCACTTGTTATTTATTGATTTAAAATTTTAATTCTAAAAATTTGTATTCAATAAGAATTCCTTCTATTTAATAAGAATTATTACTGAGCTATGGACATTTATGCAAATTTATATTTTTATGATTATAATTAAAGAAATAAAACTTAAGTAGACAATCGTTTTATTCATTAAATATTACAATCAGAACTATATTTTGAATATTTATACATTTATATACAACTTCTAGACTAAACATTTTTATATCCTTAAATTTTTCATAAATGTACAGAAATCTATAATTTAATTATTGCCTATAGTTTTATTAGTTCAGACTAGGAAAATATTGAACAATTAAAAATAAACAATCAATAGTAGTTTATTATACATTTAGTTGTTCTTACAGAAATATTTACAAAATTATAACATTTAAACATGAGATTAAGCATGTTACACATGTAAAAAACTATTGAAATAAGATAACATTAAATATAAATTATAAACTATGGTGATTACAAGTTTTCAATTTTAATGTTATATCTTCTTTTGTTAGACACTTCATCTATTGCATGTTCTATATACATGCGTGACGTATTAGGATGATTAGAAAAATAATATACTTTTGCATTAATATTCAGTATATCTATTGTTGGATTAAGCTTTATGCTTACAGAATACATAGGTTCTCCAACAGATCCAAAAATATCGTCTATGTAACCCAACAGTGTATATCTTGATTCGTTGTCATAAAAATTTGTACAATTTAAAAACAAGGGAGTTCCAATATATAAAAGAGTATTCAAAGAGCATGGTTTAACAACTGCTAGCGGGATGTAAAGCGTCTTAATAATATTCTTGATTTCTCCTGCAAGATGTTTATTATTCTCCTGATTATGTTCTAAACAAGATTCTATACTTAATCTTTCGAAATATTTGTTCATCCTGGCAGAGAAAACACGAAAAGAAATTTATACAATAAAGTGGAAGTTTACTTTCATGATTGAATATAAATAATTATTTACATTATAAATTACTGTAAATTGCAATGTTACTTACTGATTTGGTAACTTGCTTTTATCTTTCAAAGACAACATATCACCAAACATAGTTGAAATATATGACACTGAAGCACAAGTATTTTCACCTTTACTTTTACCATTTAAACAGAATGTATTCGATACCACTCTTTCCATTATGTTATCTTCTGTGTATTTCTTTCTAATATTTTATTTGTATATATGAAATTATTTATATCTTGTTATACAATTTTTTTTTACAATATCATTTATTTATAGGTTATAAGAATACAAATAAGGTCACAATATAAGGTAATATGGTTTATAAGGTAAACAAATATAAAACCTATGTATCTCACAGATACATGAAGTTATTTTTTTTTGTTTGAAGGATATAGTGTATAGAATTTAATAGAAGTTATCTATTTATGCAAAGGTATTATTTATACAATTCTCTTAAACAATCGATTTATTAAAAAAAATTTTAATTGTGTAGTAAATTTTAGGTTACATTTTTATATTCAACATATTTTTGTTCATAAATTTAGGACGTTATACAACAAAATTAGTTTACACACATCATCATATATCAGCTATCTTGATATCATTTCTTTTTGTTCTTCAATTCCCATAGTCCGTGTCTAACAAACCTTTGTACTGCATCTTTGTTTATATGAGGCATAATTGTTTTTTTATCGTTAATTTGCTTTGCACGTGCCATGGACTTCTTTAAACGATCATTTTCTTGCTTTATTCGGTGTTTTGATGGATCAATTCCTGGTTAGACATAAACATAATTAAAATATAATAAAAATTACCGTGTAACTTTATATCTTTTTTTTTTATTAATATCTTACCTTCTGCACGTAGATACATCCAAAATACACTATTTAGACAATAAGACATTAGCAGATTATACTCTATTTTATCTGTATTAGAGAGTTTTTCATATACTGTTGGATTAGTAACATGTTTAACTTTATCTTCGATTTTCGTTGCTGCATCATGAAATTGTTTCAGTTTTTCAATAACGTCTGTGTCGTGTGACCGTTCTCCAAAATTTGCATCCATTGTTTATCCGAAGAGAAACGATTTTTTAAC